CTTTGTAAAGAATTAACTGTAGAAATTATTATTATTATATATAAAAAGCAATATTATAAGCTCCTGTTATTTGCCAGGCTGAGCTCTGTGCTAAACATTGGGGATACAAAAAGAGGCAAAAGACAGTGGCTGCCCTCAAGGAGCTCACCATTTAATGGGGGAGACAACATGCAAACAAATATACAAAGTAAGCTATAAACAGGATAAATAGAAAATTAGTAACCAAGGAAAGGCACTAGAATTAAGAGAAGTTGGGAAACGTTTGCTGTAAAAGATGAGTTTTTAGTTGGGACTTAAAGGAGACAGGGAAGCCAGTAGGCAGAATTGAGAAAGAGCATTCCAGGCTAGGGGAACCGTCAGAGAAAATGCCCAGCAAACAGGCCAGTGTCACTGGATTGAAGAGTACGTGGCAAGGAGTAAGGTGTAAGAAGACTGGAAAGGTAGGAGGGGGCTACATTATTAGGGGGCTTTGAGTGACAAACAGAGCATTTTGAATTTGGGGGGAGAGAGAGAGAGGGAGAGACAGACAGACAAACAGACAGACAGACAGACACACACTGTCCAAAGAATCTCATAATATGCTGGAAGAAATAGTAAGAAAGATAGAGAGGGAGAGATATTGGAACCTTTGACCCAAATCTATTCTAGTAAAGTATGTGAAGTAGAGGATTGATTATTTTCCAAATTATCCTAACTACACATTCTAGGTTCCATGAATCACTGACAATTTCCCAATTTTACAGCCCGAAGTAGATAATGCTGTCATCAAACCATTTCTTCCTTCTTTAAAATATTGCCCAAGTAAGATGCATGAACTCATTATCATAAATGAAAGCCTCATTCTCTCAGTTTTAACATGGAAGGTCTGTCAGAAAACACATTCTTTGTTTAAACATCCCACCCAAAGTCTTGGAAACATAGTCTCCTTATGTTTATTGAGGCAGCAAATTAGAATGTCTAAACTAATACTGGCCTCTGATTCAATATAGAACACAATTTTTTTCCCTGCTGCTTGTGGCCTTTGGAGTTGATAATTGAACTGAAGGATACAGACTATGGTACCTGTTTGAAGTGAGCACTCAGACTTAGGGTTCCTTTTATCTTATAACAGTATTAATGTTGGCTGGGTGCCATGTACTGGGGGTTCAGAAGAGTTAATGAAAATCATGATGCTTTCAACTGCTCTCAAAATGAGCCACTCTGCTTGCATCAAACCAAATGGCTTATAGGCCACAGATTTCTACATGTAAGAACATGTGAGGGGCCAGCCTAGTAACTTTAAAAAAATCAAAAAAAAAATCCTCTTCTCATCAAAATCCAGAAGCAGCTAATTGCAAAGTCAGACTTTCCAGCTCATCATACAGACCTGCAAGCTGTTTTTCAAATATATTGACATGTTAGAAATAAAAATAAAAACACTCTTAAGTGTATCAAAATGTGTTTGAAACCTTATATATGGTCCTAAAATATTAAAATATGAGTAGAAGACCCTACCTGCTAGTTTTGAAGTTTTGTTGACTTTTGCATGTGCTCTTGCTTTCTCTTTTGCTCTCATAAAGCTCATTAATTCTCTCTTTTTATGATCATTTCAATTCTACATCCTCAGTCATTCCCCCTTACCTAAACTCTAGTCTGATATGTCCAGTTGAAAGTTCACATTTCTACTACCCTTAATACGTTTCAAACCAAAGTCATCATTTCCTCCCTCAAATCAGTTCACCCCTCCTCCATGTCCCCAAATTATGCCTCCCATTTCCCAGTCCAGCCACCCAATTGGCATTCTTCTGGAAGGAAAGCAATCAGATTCATCAATATCTCTGAATTCTCAAAGGGGAGTTGCATTTTAAAAGACAGTCTTGTCAGCCACCATGACTTTCAAATTGTAGGAATTTCAGGCAGCTGAGGATAATATTTGGTAGAGAGCAAGGGAAGTGTCCAGCTGAAAAAGTAGGGTGTCTAAGTTACTTGGGCCCCTCTGAGTTAGTTGCTCCAAGAGTCTTCAGAGGGACTTTGGAGGAGGAGCTTCTTTTTCACCCATTACACATTTCTTCTTCTTCAGGTGACTCTAGAAATGCTTACTCTCAATTTCGCCCAGCCCAGTCTTCTCCACCTCTCCTTTGTACTCATAGGGGCTTAGAATGTGATTCACTGAATGACGTTAGCCACAGATCTCTCTTTCACCCTCTCTCTCACTCTCTGTCTGTCTCTGTCTCTCTCTGTTTCTGTCTCTTTATGCTTCTGTCTCTCTCT